CATGCTGGGTAAGGTGGAGGGTCAGAGAAAAAGAGGAAGACCCCCAACGAGATGGATCAGCCAGGTGACATCATTGATGGCGTCAAATGTGGCGGTGGTAGTGAGGTTGGCCCAGGATCAGACATTGTTTCGTTCTGCTGTGCATGGGGTCGCTATGAGTCGGTTCCGACTCGATGGCACCTCACAACTTTTTTGAACTTCGCTGTTATTGCTGGTGTGAGATGACATCTCATTGTTGTTTTGCTTTGCATCTCTCTAATAGCTAGTGATCGTGAACATTTCTTCAGATATTTGTTGGTTGTTTAGGGTCTTTTTGATGCAACTATTGATCTCTCCCATCTAGAACATGGGAGCATGGAGACTCAAGGGAACAATGAGTCCAAAGGAATAGGGAGCCATGTGAACCTAAGACTCCACAACCCTGAGACCAGAACTAGATGATGCCCAGCCACCAAGTGCTGACAACTCTGAAAGGCACCCCAACTGGAGATCCTATATTTGTTGTTGTTAAGTGCCGTTCAGTTGGTTCCAAATCATAGCAACCCTGTATAAGGTTTCCAAGGAGCAACTGTTGGGTCTGAACCCTACAGAAAACGTGGAACAAAACTGAAAATCATAAAGACCACCAGGTGTGCTGCTCAAGTAGTGACTGGTGGAACCAGGAGGTTGCAGGCACCCTTCAGGTCTGGAACTGACTTCACTCTCATGGCTCAAATTTCAGTCAAGCAATAGGTCCATACAGTGAACAACACTAGGGATGTATGCGCACCTTATGAACTAACTCCTGGTGTGGTCCTGTAGGATCAGCACTGGACTGACAACCACAAGGTCGACAGTTCAAACCAACCAGCTCATCCTAGGAAACCTTATACAGCATTGCTTATTGCTATGAGTCAGAATTAAAGGCACTTAACAAGGAGTCCTGGTGTGGCACTGTGGGCTAATGTCCTCTGAACTGCAAGGTCGGTGGTTCAAGCTCACTAGCCGCTGCCTGGAAACTCTATATAGGGTCGTTATGGGTCGGAATCGACTTGACAGCACTTAACAACAACAACAACAATGCATGCTTTAGAAAACTACACCATTTGAAATCAAAAGCACAGCATGTGCACTAGGACATAGTTCAGAAGGCCGGAAGGGTTGAGAAAGAAGGAGGAATGGCAATAGGCAACTCAGGGAGGAAATGGGATCATGATGTTACACTGTGAGGAATGCAATTCGATGACACGAAAGACAATGTGTATGAAGGAATGGAAAACCTTTCTCTGTTTTCTAAAATGAACATCAACTTTTATATTCAGAAAAAACACACTATTCTGAAAATGAAATAAGCAATTATACCCACAAAAATATGATGCATAGACTCGGTTATTGTGCAATTCAGAGCTAAGAGGAACATCTAATGTTGAATTTGTTTGATGAAGACCATTCTTAGAATTTATTATATTAAATCTTTGAAAATGGTCTTGGTTTCAAACCGAGGTCCTAGATATTTTTGTTTTTGGATGGGGAGAAGAAGGCTAATAAGTAAAGGGAAGTTACATATTCTTTGACAATCTGAGCCAAGTTATAGAATCTCTAACATACACTTAAGACAAACACTGATCTTCTGAAACACATCTCTCAGGTTAAAAATCTGATACAGAATGACTTATGATATATTTAATGGGGCCTGATGTGGCACTGTAAGATAAACACTCAACCACAAATCACTTTGAACCGCAAGGTCGGTGGTTCAAACTCACCTGCTGCTCCTTGGAAACCCTATACAGGATTGTTATGAGTCAGAATTGACTTGACAGCACAACTTTGCAAAAACAACATCATAATGTATTTCAGACTCTAACTTTTATGGGTTTATATATGTATTACATGAGCAAAATATCCTATTAATACAAACATCTGAAGGATGAAGTCAAATGACAGTGAGCAATTTTACAGAAATTTAAAGGAAATAATAATAGCTTACCTTTTCTCTCACTTGGAAATACAGAAGCAATGCGAGACATTCTGAAGCCATGTGAGATAACAGTTTATCTGAATTCTGAAACAGACAGATCTATAGAACAACGAGTATTTAATAACCATTGCTATAGAGTTTTCAAAGTTTTACTTTAAAAAAATCAAAATCTTGCTTTTTGAAAAACCAAATGACTTACTAATTTGGAATCTACTTCAAATGATTCCAAAAGAATTTGAATGATAACTCTGTAAGTCTCCTTTGTATGGAAATCAGTTTCAGCAGACAACATTCTGGTCATCATCACTTTGATCACTGTTAACTGAAGCAATGTTCCATCTCGGGTAATGCTCATGAGAGAGGATGTCTTCCAACACACTGGGTCGACAGAAACATCAGTCAAATTCACAGAGCATGGCTGAGGAGTGCCCTGGACACCATGGGGGTTGGACAACTCTAGGGAGGCCACTGTAGAGAAATCTTGACTTGGAAACGTTGGAATGAGACACAAGATATAGTCACGACTGTCAGTTTCAAGTGGCGCTCCAAGAAGTATTTTCTTGTATAGTTGCTCTAAAACTTCATAGATTGGTTTCATTTTATTTCCAAAATGTATCTTATGAGCAGGCTAACAATTCTAAACATCACTAAGATGTTTCTTCATTAAAACCTGAAATATAAAAAAACATCATTTTGTGTGTGTGTTATTCATCAATTATAAAAGGACAGTGATTGTTTCCGCTCTATCACTAAGTCACTCATTGCTCATTGCTTAAGTTCTAAAATGGTAAACTGGTAACAAGAATATTACTTTTGAAGACCACAGAAATGAATGTATGCTTTCCTCACGGATTTCAGCACTCACAGAAGCAGCAGTCAAGAAGTCAAACAATGTACTGCATTAGGCAGACCTGCTGCACAAGACCTCTTTAAAGTGCTAAAGAGCAAAGTTGTCAGTTTGAGGACTAAGGTGTGCTTGTCCCAAGCCATGGTGTTTTCAACAGTCTCATATGCATAAGGACTCCTGGTGTGGTGCTGTAAGATCAGCACTGGACTGTGAACAACAAGGTCCAGCAGTACAAATCTATCAGCTGCTCTTCGGAAACCTTACATAGGTTCGCTATGAGTCGGAACAGACTTGACGGCACTTAACAACATGTTCATGTGGCTAGTGAACAAGGAAGGAAGACTGTAGAAAAATTGAGACATCTGAGTTATGGTGGTGGAGAAGAATATTAAAGGTACCATGGGCTGCCAGAAGAACAAACAAATCTGTGTTGGAGGAATTACAACCAGAATGCTCCTTAGAGACCAAGACGGCCAAAGTTCACCTCTCATACTTCAGATGTGTTACCAGGAGAGATCAGTCCCTGGAGAAGGACATCATGCTTGGTAAAGTGGAGAGTCAGCGGAAGAGAGAGACCCTCCCAACGAGATAGATTGGCACGGTGGCAGCAGCAGTAATGGGCTCAAACGCAGCAGCAATTTTGAGGATGGTGCAGAGTTGTGGGTATTTCGTGCTGGTGTACACAGGGTCGCTGAGTTGAAACTGACTTAATGGTACCTAACAATTATTTTTAACTTCCTTGCACCAGAGACTTGAACTTTCCTCTAACATCTTTCCATAGGCTTTAAAATTCTCAACCATGGTACTATGAGAGGGTTTCCAAAGTTTGTGGAAAAAATTCCTTCACCTTTCAGTTTTCCTGTGATTTTTGTGAAGCCCGTTGGTATTAGCGTTTTGAGGCAGAGAGTGCACTGCAGAGGTTTAGTAGTATTACTGGGTGCCCCTGCTAGAACGAGGGGCAGTGATGGCTCAGTGGCAGACTGCTAGCCCTAAAACTGGGGTGGGTTTCCAACCCAGGCACCTCATGCACAGCCACACGCCCACCTTGTGAAAGGCTCTGGTACCCTACAGTTTCAGCAGGTTTCTAGAGTACAATGAACTAGGAAGAAAGGACTGGCAATACACTTCCAAAACAACTGGTCCAATCCACTGTGCATGGGGTCACCGTGAGTCAGGGACCACCATCATGGCAATTAATAACTAAATGCCTTGGGGGGGACCAGTCACTGGAGAAGGATATTTGGTAAGGTGGAGGGTCAGATAAAAAGAGGAAGACCCCCAGCGAGATGGAATGACCAAGTGGCAGCATCAATGGGCTCAAGCGTGGCAATAATAATGTGAGGTTGGCCCAGGATCTGGCAGTGTTTTGTTCTGCTCTGAATAAGGTCGCTATGAGTTGGCCCTGACTTGATGGCACCTAACAACTAGATGCCTAAGGAGCTCTGGTAGCGAGCCGTTATAAATAGGGCTGCTAATCTCACGGTCAGCAGTTCGAAACTACCAGCTGTTCCGCGGGAGAAAGATGAGGCTTTCTGCTCCCGTAAAGATTTACAGCCTCAGAAACCCTGTACAGGGTCACTACGAGTCAGAACGGACTCCACGGCACAGAACAACTAGATGCCTATAGTGCATCTGCCCTACTTGTTACTCACCTGTGACTTTCGGATAAAAGCTCAAGTTCTACTGTTAGAAGGCAGAGGTGTAAACTTGAAATTGCTTAAATACATGTATTGCTAATTATTTTATGGAGTCCTGGCGTGGTGCTGTGGGCTAATGCGTCAGACTGCAAAGTCGTTTGAACTGCATGGTCAGTGGTTCAAGCTCACCAGCTGCTCCTTGTAAACCCTATACAGGGTCACTATGGGTCGGAATCGACTTGATGGCACTTCACAACCACAATTACTTTATAACTTCAAATTGAAAGAACTCTTGTTAAGTCACTACTATCAAGTTAAGAGCCAGGAGTGAAGTGCATCCTTTGTAGACCAAGAGCCTGTGCATCGAACCTCCTTCCCCAGGGACAGACTGTGATATTGCACGAGTGGCCCAGAAGCAGTAGCAGAACCAGTTGCCAGAGAGGTGGGCCTACGGAGCATGTGTGAAGCTGAGCGACTTTAGAGTGGGTGCTTCTAAGCACTCAACTGGGGGAGCTACATTTGCTAAGCCACAGAGCTAGAGTAGAGTGCCTTTTGAGGCTTATGTATAGCAGGTCCTGTGGGCATTTATGAGCAATCCTAAAAGAGCTGTGGAACACTGCTGGAGCAGGCTAGAGGCCAGGTGAAGAGGCTGTGGGCGTGGCTGAGGAGAAGCTGTCATGATTGGTACAGCTGTGCGCAGAGCCGTTTCTGATCCTGAAGTGTTACCTGTGAACTTCCCTAATAACACCTGTAACTGTGAGGATGGTGTCTGAGTTCTGTGTGGCCACTGCAATAGATTATTGAACCCAGATGGAAGGCAGAGTGCTGTGGGAGAGATGGTTGGTGCTACATGTTTTATTCATAGACTAACCAATAAACTGTCTGATGCAGAAACAACCCCACCCACCGGCCACTTTGTTTCCATTTGTAAATTAATTTGATTTCAACATTCCTTTGCTTTAAGCAAATTGTGGGTTCTGTAACTGTTTATTTTAAAGGTTTCCGATAGCTGCATATCCCCCCTCATTAATTGATGAGTTAGATAAAATCTTTGATATGCATTCAATTTATATGGGTCATGACTCTGTCCTTTCAAAGTTTATCCTTTACCAAAATCGAGCCTTTCCTTCTCTAGATGAACCCATTTATAACCTCAGTTATATGCAGGAAGAGCAGAAGGTAATATGGTCCACCCATGCAGCCTTGATCTTTAACTTCTCTCCACTCCACTCGGGTCTTCCCCTATTCTACCTCGTAAAGAATTGCAGCTACTGATCAGTCCCCAGCCCCATCCCACCACCACCTCAAGACAAGCTGTTCCTCAGAGTGTGGGTGAAGAGGCCCAATTAACGGTAGACATCTTACTTTAAGCATTTTTCTTATCCACACAACCAAATAATAACCGAAAAATTTGAACCAAATTACAAAAGCATTGATTTGGTTTTCACCAGAAGCAGTTCTAAAGCAATGTAAATTTGTTTTTTATCCTGTTGTTGTTGTTGTTATGTGCCGTGGAGTCGGTTCCGACTCATAGCGACCCTGTACAGGGTTTCCGAGGCTGTAAATCTTTACGGGAGCAGAACGCCTCTTCTGTCTCCCACGGAACAGCTGGTAGTTTCGAACTGCTGACCTTGCGGTTCGCAGCCCGATTCGTAAGCGCTCGCTACCAGAGCTCCATGAAAAACAACTCTGTTGTTGTTTGAAGCCACCCAGTCAGATCTGACTCACTGACACACAGAGCCTGGTCCCCCACCACCCTCACCTGTTTGAGTCCAGTGCTGCAGCCCAGGGGTCAATCCGTCTAAATGAGGGGATTGTCACAGAGCAAAACTGAAGGGGCTGCTCGAAATTAAAAGTAAAGAACTTTTGCCAAGGCAAGGTAATTTACAAATTGGAAATTCCAAAGAAAAGAGGATTCTGAACTAAGCAGTTCCCAGAGGTGATAATCACTGAATTTTTTATAAGTAAAGGAACTGAGTAAAAATTCACTGATTGGTTGCCATTTAGGCAACTGTTACAAAATTGGATGATACAGTTGATTGGTAGAAGAGTATACATTTTAAATAAAGTTACAATGTAATCGTTATATTGATACATGTGGCTTCAAAAAAAAATGAGACCCTCCTTGCATGACTGGCAGGGAGGATATGTGTAATTCTAAGTCAATTTTGGATAAGCATCTGTTCTGAGAATTGTTTTAGACCTGATTCCTAAGCAGCAAGCAGGTCCCATATACAAGCAAAACTGCACTGTGGTCTCTGAAATTGTTTACCATTTTCTTAGGGAGCAGTGATGAAAAATGGGAATCACAAGGAAAAGGGGATGATTCTGAATTAAGTAGTCCAAGGAGGAGATAGCTGATTAAAAATGAGTTTTTGCCTTAACAATGAACAGAGTCACCGCCTCATGTTGAGTCCTAGATAGAGGTCTTCCGTTTTGTTGCTGACCCTCTACTTTACTGAGCATGATGTCCTTCTCAAGGAACTGGTCCTTTCTGATACCATGCCCAAGGTACATTAGGTGAAGTCTCGCCCTCCTCTCTTCTAAAGAACAACCTGGCTGTACTTCCAAGACAGATTTATTTGTTCTTTTGCTAGTCTATGGAATGTCCAATATATTCTTTGTTAACCCACAATGCAGATGCATCCATTCTTCTCTGGTCTTCCTTAGTCACTGTCCAGCGTAAGAGGTGACTGAAAATACCACTGCTTAGGTCAGGTGCCCTGTTACCCTCAAAGTGACATCTTTCTTTGCTCTTTAACATTTTAAAGAGGTCTTTTGCAACAGATCTGTCCAATGCTTTCTGTTCATTTGATTTCTTGACAGCTGCTTCCATGAGCACTGATTGTGGATCCAAGTAAAATGAAATCTTTGATGTGAATCTTTTCTCCATTTATCATGATGTTGTTTACTGGTGCAATTGTAAAGATTTTGGTCTTCTTTTACACTGAGTACTATTGAAGGACCCTGTTCCTGATCAATAAAACAGCGTTGCAGCTGCCCCCAAGTGGCACCGAATACAGTCCTGCTTAAGCTTCCGTCTCCTGAAAGCTTAAGTCTTTATTATACCAAGAGACCCTCCCCCCAGTAGTTTCAGGAACATCTCCATAACTC